ATTTATTTGAAATGATAAGGACTGCAAGAAGAGGGGTGATGTAATGTAAATATGACACATACATACATTTTTCATCATATGGGCATTCAGTTATAATATGGATGTCATTTTAAAAGACAGCACTGTAAATGTAAATGCTGTGCTCAGCTTTTTGGTTATCAACTACTAATTAAAAGTGTAACAAAAACACTCACAAACAACTTTGCTCATTTATGACCCACAAATTTGCCATTAGCCATTACTGAAATGAGCTGGCTGCGTCTTTGTTATTTATTTATTTAAATATATAAATTCGTTTTTTTCATTTGTTGGCACATTTAATTGCAATTGCAACCTCATGACAATTTTTTTTCCTGCTTCAAGCTTCAAAATATTTCAAATTTCAAGACCAAAACACTTGAACTGTACTGACCTGGGTCCTGAGACTGCCAAGCAACTGTGAAGCCACCGGCACTGACAGAGTGGTCAGAGCGAAACCAAAAGTACAGAGAATTATGGGAGCTGAAGAGCTCTGCGGGGCTATTTTGGCCACAGTATTTTCCGATCATGTAAGCTGAAGCACTCTCCCCGTCGTGAATCTGAAGGAAGTCAAAGTTGCAGTTGGCACTGTTCTCCAGATCAAAGAATGGAAAGGTAATGCGCAGGATCTAGAAGAAAAGACAAAATAAATGACTAATTAGTAAACATTAGTAAGGGCCAAAGATGTGTAAACATTTAACACATTTCACTGCACAGACATATTTACTACCACCTCACAAACCCAAATCATGAAAATACGAAATAATACAGAACAAAACAAACAAAAAAACTTTTTTTTGTCTAGAATTTCAATTTGAGAGGAACAGGAACACACCTTGTTTGCATCAGTGTGGATCACCCATGCACAGCTGACCTCGTGATCATATTCATCGTGACCTGGGGTGTTAGGATAACTGAAGGAACCAGCAGGGCCAGTCAGGTACCCTCCACATACTGCAACACACATTCACACTGGTTTTTAACCTTTATATCGTCCTTGTGAGAGAAGCTAGCTTGCATGCTGCTGAAGTTTGAAATCATCTTTACTGGTTTGCAATTATGTTTCTTAAGCTTTAACCACACACCATTTTAAAGGACAAGTCATGTTAACGTAGTTTGAAGCGTAAAGCTACGATTTATCTGTGTAATAATAAAAAACAAAATAATCCACTGTAGTTCTATTTCTGTAATATAAAGTGATTATTGAGTCACTCGGCCACAGACAGATGATGAATAAATGTATTTCTGCACTTTGCAGCTTATTTTCTATGCTCCCGACGTTTTCCTCTCCGTGTCACATTCACTCTCCTCTCCTCATCTGTTTTCAGTTTATCCACACCCTCTCAGCCCATCCTTCCCATTACCTTGCTGAGGAGTCTGACAGAACGCGCCAGTCCATTGGGTGGTGCAAGTACACGTGAAACCATTAACGCCATCGGTACACGTTCCTCCATTCTGACAGGGATTGCTTGAGCATTCATTGATATTCTGGTCACAGTTCACGCCTTCCCAGCCAGAGTTGCAGTTGCAGATGTAGCCAGGATTTGAGGTGATGTCCTGTGGTAGCATAGGTTTTATGTTTGCAAATGGATTTGTCTTTGTTTTCATATCAAGGATTTATTAGGCATTCAAAGATTCATTCAGTAAATATAAAAACACATTTCAAATAAATATGACACATCAAAAAAAAATTAAAAAAATCTCTCGTGGTACAGTTTATTTCACTATAGAGCTAGAGGAGCCTGACATCTGAAGGCTCTGGCTCACATTCTACTTTTGCAAACTCTAGGACCAAAAATACAGTGCACCTGGAAAACATTCACACATTTTGTCATGTCACAGCCTTATTCCAAAATCGATTCAATTTATTTATTGTTATTTACTTGTTATTACTTTTTATATGTTTAAAACTGTTTTCCAGGCTAAACAAAGATTTTCTAAATAAGTGCAACACCTTCTCCTCTCCAGATTATGGGTTGTCTGTTTTAAGGCGCATGTTTGTGAGTAATACTAGACAGTCGAGCATCTCTCACTTGTTGCCTCCTTTTTCAGAGAAGCCACAGTATCCAGAGAGGACGTAATGCTATTAAGAAAATAATCAACCTCTGTGCGATTAAAGTTTAGGCAGCTGCTCTGCACTGTGGTGGCATGTGGTCCTGAACAAGATCACTGCCTTAAACTTAGTGACATTCTCAGAAAGACAATTTATTCTGCAGTGCTGTATAGTCTATTATTATACAAATAAATCCTGATCAAAAACAGAACCTGGTCTGACAAAAGAGGGTTTTCAGTTTCTATACCATATGTCAATATCCAGAGTGTGATGAGGACAATGAATGGGATCATTTATGTTTTGAAAGAAGCCAACTGGGTATAATAAAATGCAGTGTTGAGTCATTTTCAACATCTCCATGGATGATAAATCACCCAGAATAGTTATTTCACTTTTTAAATTTTCCAGTGAGAAAGATTCTCTTCTGCATGTGCTTTGAGGATTCAGACTCAAGGTCATGATTCATTCATTTATTTATTTATTTAAATCCTGTCCTGTCTGGCAGCTTCTGCAATCAGAATTATGATATGAATGCACTGTTGTGCCAAACATATTTTGCTTTTCCAAGACACATCTCGGCTATATCAGCACGCCCATCCCGGCAGGAGAAGAAGCGAGGCCATAGATCGGGCACTCACGCCAAGGGGGTGGGAGTCCCAGAGAACCCCGCTAGAGCCCAGCCACCCTGGTGCAAGCTGAGATCAGGGTCTCAGGGCCCCAGCCACCCTGCACGGCAAGGCAGCCAAAGAGGGCACAGACCCCCAGACCCCAGAAGAGTCATGTTCCTCAGTCGGGAGACCGAACCCACCACCACAAGCAGCCCAGGCACACCCCAGTCACCCACCGCCACCAACTGAGGCAGAGACCCAGATACTCCAAAAAGGCAACCGCAGTTCTCCAGCCTCCAGGGAGCCAACAGACCCCAGTAGTCCCAGAGATCGCCTGATGATTCATTTGAACTAACATATTAATCCTGCTGTAACTCGGTCTGGGCAAAGCAGAGTGAATATGTTAATCATTTATGAAACAATTTACTAACAGGAACTTAGAAGTGAGAAACTTACTGTTAAATAGTTCACATTTAGTTGATTTACTGTTAGGTGTAGTTGAGGGCATTATTACAATATTCTTTTATTATGAAATGTTCTACTTAATTTGTTTTTGCTGATTTTTGGTTTGTTTTTGAGGGTCTGGGAGCAAACAGTCTCTATGGAGATGGGGGGTTTGGGGATG